ACAGACAGACACCATCCTTCACAGACAGACACCATCCTCCACAGACACAGACACCATCCCTCCACAGACAGACACCATCCTTCACAGACAGACACCATCCTCCACAGACAGACACCATTCCACAGACAGACACCATCCTCCACAGACAGACACCATCCTCCACAGACAGACACCATCCTCCACAGACAGACACCATCCTTCACAGACAGACACCATCCTCCACAGACAGACACCATCCTCCACAGACAGACACCATCCTCCACAGACAGACACCATCCTTCACAGACCGACACCATCCTCCACAGACAGACACCATCCTTCACAGACCGACACCATCCTTCACAGACAGACACCATCCTCCACAGACCGACACCATCCTTCACAGACAGACACCATCCTTCACAGACAGACACCATCCTCCACAACAGCTAACTAACGTCCTTAAACCGCCAACAGAGCAGAGATGTTTGTGTTGCTGGACGATCTGAGTGAATGAATGGCAGCGACAATGACAAGACGAGGAGGTGACCACCATGTTTTCTGACCCAGTGTTGTAGTCAGATGCTCTCTCTCTCTCTCTCTCTCTCTCTTTTACCTCTAGACAATGGAAGGCCAGACAACACGAGATCAACAAACAGTATTACCAATGCTCCGAGTCCGCTATTGATACAGACAAACAGATAAGCTACAATAAGGTATCCGAGGCCACTGAGGTCATATTGTCTGTATACCTCACCCAAAGTTGACCTTTACGTGACATGTGGGCTTTAGGGTCACAAAAAGTCAAAAGATGGAACCTTCCTTTGACCTGTAATTGACCTAAAATGACCCAGGTGATTTCTTGGCTACAGGAGAACTTGAATCAGAGTAAAGTCCCCCTCCCCACCTTTCCCTGACTGACCTTCATAAGTGCCCCGGAAGCCCTGTTATTCAAGATCACTATACCGTATCGAGAATGCTATTTGTCACGCTGGAGAGGTCACAAGTCATAACGAGGGTCGTAACAGAGCATTACGACCTCTGCATCTAGGAAGGGAAGCGGCCACTTTGATTTAGAGAGGTCGACCCTTTACCGATAGCCTGGACTCACCCTTTGATTTCGATAAAAGGAAAGTGCTGTCTGAAGACATGGGAGACCAGTTTGACTTAGAAAGGAAAGGAACTACCTAAAAGTATCAAAGACCAAAGTGATTTAGAGAGAGGAAAATATTTGCGATTGGCGTAGAAGACTGTTCCTCACCTAAATGGGAGAGAGAGTTTGGTGCAGTTGAGTAAAGTCTTTGAAGCCTGTTTTGATTTGTGCAGGTAGATAGTCCGCCCCGAGGTTGCAGTTGAGTATTGATTGGAGGGATGTACCGTGTTGCTGAGGGCCTGAGGGCAAGTTCTGATGAAGACAACTATTTCCGGGAAGTTCTAAAATCTATTTATGATCTATTGGTACGAAATATTTCTTGAATACATTGAAAATTTGAAATGGGTTATCAAGATATGGAAGGCTGGGTGTTGTTCGTCCTCCTGGTTCACAGTGCACAGATTCACATGTCCTGAGCAACGCGTCCATGAGATTTAGATCTTGCGATGTTTTCTTTTCTCAAACAAAAAGTTACCCATTCACGCCTGGGTCGGGTATGGGCTGTGTGGGAACTTCCTTGTTCATGAGGGCGGCGCCGACTCTTAAAATTCTCGGTCAATTCTCCAACTTATAACTGGGTCACGACGTCTACAAAAGAACCCCTTTAACTAACTTTTTTGTTGGAGCTGATGAATATACTGTACGTATATATCAAAGCATGGAGGCGGGCGCGCGCGCGCACACACACAGACACACACAAAATTCGGGTATATGTATGTGTATATATATATATATATATATATTTATATATATATATATATATATATATATATATATATATATATATATATATATACTGTATATATATATATATATATATGCCAGTCAGTCAGGCACAAAAAAACTAAGCTTCACATTAAGCTGCGGGAAGAAAGACACATTCTCGCTCGAGCGGTCAAAGCCCTTTGAAGTTCCTTTGGTCAAGAGGTGGGTGAGGTAGGTCGTGGGGTGTGTGGAAGGGAGGATGCGGGTAATGGGATGGAGGACAGGGAAGGGAGAAGGGGAGGAAAGGGAGGGGAGGGGAGCAGGGGAGGGAAGGGAGGAGAGAGGGAATGGGACAGAAAATAACAACACGGAAGTAGAGGGAAAAACAGTGGTCTTGGTTAGCGGTGGGGAGCCCGGCGGCCATGGGGGACATTCCTGACGGAGGCTGATATGCTAGGGTACACTGCTGACGGAGGCTGACACGCTAGGGTACACTGCTGACGGAGGCTGACACGCTAGGGTACACTGCTGACGGAGGCTGACACGCTAGGGTACACTGCTGACACGTGAGGGTAGACTAACGGCGGATACCGACGCGTCTTATGGTATAATTCTATCCGAGACAAGAGACACTAGGGGAATCTGCTGACGGAGGCTGACACTATGGTATACTGCTGACCTGGGCTGTTAAGGTAGGTTACTTTTATGACGGAGGCTGACAAATTATTATACAGAACTGACGAGGGACGCATTACTGAATAAGGCTGACAAATTATGGTACACTGCCCAAGAAAGGCTGACACGCTGAGGACACATTATGATACACTACTGACGGAGAAGATACAAAATAAGGAACACTACTGACGGAGGCTGACACATCGAGACACACAGCTGACGAAGGCTGACACACCAGGGAGAGCGAGCCCCAATTGAGGGGTGTTTTGACCATGGCAACTCACTAGGGACTCTCCTCAGGTAAACAGTGCAGAAGACCCCAGACGACCAGGTGTAATTTGATAGATGAAAACAACACCTGAGTACTGAGTTGTTTTGAGAACGACTCTGTGACAACAACTCTAATATGTGTTTTTTCTATGCATACACACACACACACACATACACACACGAGCACCAACTAATATGCTGTCCAACACGTGAAACCTTACATGAATCTCACACGCCGTTCACAGCTCTCCTCCACTTCCAACAGCTCTCCCACTTCCCACAGCGCCTTCCACCTCCCGTAACTCTCCTCCACATTACCTCCTCTCCACTCCACACGTACAGACTACCAATGTTTGACGATCTACTAAATTAAATCCTTTTGGTCTGTATCCAGATCAACATGCTCAGGTAAATCGTAACTTTGGGAGTGTATCAATCCTTCTGCTTCGTACCTTTGGTCATGATTTAGTGCTCGTTAATAAGGCAGTCTTCCTTTGAGGATTTTTGAACTCTTGTGTGTGTGTGTGTGTGTGTGTGTGTGTGTGTGTGTGTGTGTGTGTGTGTGTGTGTGTGTGTTAATGCAATCCATGGAGGCATTTATGAAGAGAACCTGTTGACATGCATACAGACAGACAGACAGACATGCAGACAGAAAGACAGACAATAACCCCAGAGGGAGATAATAATGACTTAAAATAAACTATGAAGAAATAAAATAATGAAAACAGAAACATCAGAAAATAAATAATATAATCTACAATAAATGATAATAAAATACAATCAAGGAAAAAATAAAGATAAAATAAATAAAATGGAAACACAATAAATGAATTAATAATGAAACATACAAAGAGGGAGTAACACACAGACACAATCAAGACACAGACGCAAACACAAGCCAAGACACAGATACAATCAACACACAAACACAAGCAAGACACAGACACACGCAACACACAAACACAAGCAACACACAGACGCAAGCAAGACACAGACACAATCAACACACAAACACAAGCCAAGACACAGACACACGCAACACACAAACACAAGCCAAGACACAGACACACGCAACACACAAACACAAGCAAGACACAGACACACGCAACACACAAACACAAGCAACACACAGACACAGACACAAACAACACACAGACACAATCAAGACACAGACACGAGAGGGTGCCATCAGCACGAGTCTTATAAAAAGCCTTCCACTGTATATTAATATTTTATTTAAATGTGAGGAAAATCTGGCTGAGGGCCGCTTCACAATTCTCTTTGATCAGCTCAGTCAGAGTAAAAAAAATTAACATATTTCATTTGAATAATAATTTCCGCCGTGCAAAAAGGAAAAGTTAGTATTTTCAAAGTATTTATTGTATGTAACTTTTTTTTCCGAGAGGCTGACAAGAATGACAGCTAATGGACAGGTAATATTGAACTGTTTGACCTTCACTATTTTCCATCTTGTTTTTATCTTATTTGATTTTTTTATTTATATATTTTATATTTTATTTTATTATTGTTATTTATTAATTTATTGGTCAATTTTGTCTTTGTTGATTAGCAGTGGAAGTTTTTCTTGTTACTTCTAAGAGATGAGGTGATCATTTTAATACCCCCACCCCCCCCCGTAAGTGCAAGTTTTTGTGTATTTATTCCATGACCGTGTATGTGTATGCACTGTGCGTGTACGTATTTCTCTCAATATTTGAAGCTTCCGTGTGTGCTTCCCGGCATAATTTTCCTCCAAGAATCTTTTTGAATTTTCCTTGCCCACATGGGAAAAAAATTATTTTCCCTCCAATACCAGTAAGTTATCTCCCGGCAGACAATATGGAGGACGTTTACGACCCGCCACCGTCGGGGCGAGCGGCCGGTTTGAGACGTTCACCGCGCGACACCCCAACTACACCCCGGCGCCTGCGTCACCCCAGCTGCCTCACGCACGATACACCCTGGAAAAACAGCTACATGAACCCCCATCACCTGAATCAACCGATCGCCATTTATCAGTGAAACATTTGTGATTATAAGTATAAAATTATGGGAGTGGTATTTTGGCTAGCCGATGGATGTATGGGGTTTAAAATATTAAATCAATATGAGAGATTTGATGGGGAAACCGAACAGGTCCCCTCATCGTACGACATGTTTTCCCACCACGTGCTGGCTGAGGGGACTGTGGTCGGACTGGAAGCAGCTGGGCTTCAGTGTGCATATTGACAACACAGTGCGGGGAGGGAGTGTTTGTGGGACCAGTTTGAGCCTCTATAGGCCCATGGGTATTTATCTTAATCGCAAGTGAGTGAAGTTCCGTGTGAAAAGTTCCTATTTTTTTCTCCAGACTACGTCCATGAAGTACTTAGATAACATAGACCCATTTGATAGGCCTGGAGTTAACAACCACTAGTTTTATATTTTAAAAAAGTGTCGTGCTGTGATAGGATGTGTTTAAAAAAAAACCCGCCACCATAGAAAAGGAATATGTTTTTTGTGTTATTTTTTATAGTGAGCAGAAATAAGACTGGCGAGAAGCAACGCCAACACAACACTCCTGACACAACCTTCTGCAGTGTGACTTCAAGACTCATAACTGCCTCTGTCAATGACCGGCGCCCAACACCTCTCGGGAGAGTTGTAAAACAGACATCATCATTTACTTGCACGTGTAAAAAATGATGCGTTTATTGAACATTTGCAGACATTGTTGCCGCCTGTCATTAATAGTTTTTGGAGGGGACAGCTGAGAGATAAATATTGTTTTTTTGATGAGACATTTACATTAATTTACATTTATAGTAAACAAGTGTACGCCACAGCCAGGCCATCAAACAACGCCTTTGTAGTTGGTGGGTACAGTACAAAGTGCCCATTGTACACAACTGTACTACGTGATCACAACACAACACACAAATCACCAGAGGAATATGTTCATTAAACTCAAGGTTATGTCATGTTACCCAAACTTGTTCAGTACTTGTATCACACCTTACAGTTAGATCTTGTCCTAGTCATTACATCAATTACAGAAGTACATACAATATCCTGCCTAAGCTATTATTGTACTAGAACACAACACCCAACTTGTGTTTGTATATGACATCAGGTAAATTACATAACACCAGCAAACACACATTACATGACGTTACACCGACGGCACCACTCAAGTTACCAGATTGTTGGGGTACAGACCAATACTGTACTCACTTATGTAATTTAACCATCAGTTGGGTAAATTAACATCACCATGACTTTATTATACCAGTTGAAAGTAATTAATCAAAATATCATACGGGATTAGATAAATTATCACATACGTGTTTTGTGTTAGACTGATTAGATTATGTAAGTATAGGGATTAATTAATGGCATTATACTGTAGGAGTGTAGTACAGAGCCTGGCGATGACTGAGCGCTTTCTGTAATGGCTTCACCTCCTGTCATTAGTGTTCATCATAAATTAATGTTTAAGTCGTGAATAACTAACTACATACAATGATTAGGAATGACTAGTTCTAACTGCTTAATGAAGAACAATACGTTGCTCAAAACAGTTCAATAGAAGGTAAATTTAGACTTAAAAAGTGTTCAGTATAAAGCAATGAACATGACGCTTTGTGTTCATTGTTCTTCATAGAATTCTTTACGAGATCACGATGCCAACTGAAACAATAGTCAAGGTGTTTTATGTTTTAATTAACTCAATATAGCACCTTTAGATATGCAGGTATACTGTTTAAATCATTACTGACGAGGTTCAGAACCGGTTGAACAAGGCGCTCTGTAATTTATGGATGTTCAAAATCAGTGTGAATAGGATTTAACCATGAAACATTAAGGTGTTTTTGTTCTGCTGAGGTCACTGGCCCCCCCAACACCCTCACAAAGGCTAGTAGGGCTGTAGGCCTCACTACCAAGGGGTGTAGGTCCACGTTCTCAAAAATCCTTTATGTTAATTTTCTTCCTCAAACACATTAAGTTACGGTAGAGTCTCGGTGTATTTTCCGTGTCATTTTGAATGTTATTTTAGTGTTGTAGCTAAATTGGTTTAGATAGACTAGTACATCCTGGTGAAGTATTAGTGTAAGAAGGTGGTATTTTAGACATTCCTTTCGTCTTGTGGGTGAAGGAGAATCAGATGGATGAGTTATACATCCATTAAAGTGGGGGGGAGAGGGGGTGGTGTTAACGTACGAACCTTCGAGAATCCATCTTAGTGTCGTAGCTTAAAGCACAACAACGCATTCCCAGTTCAAGGAAAATTTAACGCGACACCTATGAGATAATCCATCTTTGTATCGTTGGTTAGGTGAGGCAGTTGGATAGGTTGCCATATGACGAATTACTGGGTGAATAAATACGTATGAACTTTTAATAACCCGGTTCTTGAAGCTGCGGGAGGGGGGACACGTCATGTTTAGGTTGCCATCAGGTGAAGCAGGGGGTGTACGTTCTATGAGGTCTCTCTCTCTCTCTCTCTCATTTTGGTACCTTCTCTCGCTGTCACTCGGTAGTTATTCGTGTCGAGACAGTTACTGAGCATAGACACTGCGCATAAGTTACTTCATCGAGCAGGTAGAAGCTCTCCTCATGGAGAGAGAGGTAGTCTCCCTCACATTAATCTCCCCACAGAGTAGCTCACCTCCACAGGTCACATTCACAAGCAGGTAGAGTCCCTCACACCCTCACAGGTAGAGTCTCCCTCACAGGTAGTCTCCCACAGGTAGTACAGGCAGAGCCCCCTCACAGGCAGTCTCCCTCTTAGGTCTCCAGAGTCTCCCACAGGTAGAGTCACTCACAGGTAGAGTATCCCCTCACAGGTAGTCTCTCCCCTCACATTAATCTCCCCCCACAGGTAGAGTCACCCTCACAAATAGAGTCTCCCCTCACAGGTAGAGTCTCCCCCTCACAGGTAGAGTCTCCCCCTCACAGGTAGAGTCTCCCCCTCATAGGTAGAGTGTATAGGAACCACATGATCTCGCCACAGCTGGATGTGTTTGTAAACAAGATACTTATCTGACACGCCTTTTAAAAACGTTCAGTAATGCATGTTTATTTTTTCCTCAAATGTGTTTATACCACCCACACACATACATACATACATACATACATACATACATACATTACCTACCATAAAATAACAACGACCATTAGAGAACACATAAAAAGCTTGTGTCTCCCTCCTAAAGCCGAGTTCCTTACCTCTATATAACGGAGATCCCTGCCCCTATATAACGGAGATCCCTGCCCCTATATAACGGAGATCCCTGCCCCTATATAACGGAGATCCCTGCCCCTATATAACGGAGATCCCTGCCCCGATATAACGGAGATCCCTGCCCCTATATAACGGAGATCCCTGCCCCTATATAACGGAGATCCCTGCCCCTATATAACGGAGATCCCTGCCCCTATATAACGGAGATCCCTGCCCTATATAACGGAGATCCCTGCCCCTATATAACGGAGATCCCTGCCCCTATATAACGGAGATCCTTGCCCCTATATAACGGAAGTCCCTGCCCCTATATAACGGAGATCCCTGCCCCGATATAACGGAGATCCCTGCCCCTATATACCGGCAATGTGAAAACACTGGCCTTAAAAGTTACTCTATGTTTTCCTTCACGCTTCCGGTAGACTTGAGTGAAAGGGAGGATGGGTGAATGGAGAGGGACGGGCGGAGTGGGTGAAGGGAGAGTGAGGTGAGACGGAATGAGTGGAAGAGTGTGTAAAGAGAATGAGTGAGCAGAATGAGAGAAGGGAGAGTGAAATGAGAGAGAGAGGAAAATGAGAGTGATAGGAGTAAGAGTGGCAGGAGGAAAGAGAGAGGGAGGTGGGGGGGAGAGTAAGGTGAGGGGCGGAGAGAAGGGAAGGAAATTTTATAGCTGCCGACGAGAGGGCAGGAGTAATATAGGAATCCATCTCCCTAATGCAGGAGAAGAGAGAGAGAGGGAAATAGAGAGAAATAGAGAGAGAGAGAGAGCGGGAGGGAGGGAGGAAGATAGAGTGAAAGAGAGAGAGATGCTGATTCACTACTCGCGCATTCGTGTGTACATTGCACGAATAAGTACACACGATAAAAGTTCGCGTTCGTGTCCTTACAGTATCTGAAGTGTATGTCTGGGAAGAGTACTTGTTGATGTAAGTATTTATATGTGGAGACAAAATAGACTGTACATAAGTGTTACTTTATTCGTAAAAAAAAAACTAACAAATAATTTTTCTCGTAAGAATATTCTGTGTTTTCGTGTCACTTGGTGTAAAAAGGCAGACATAAATGCTTTTTATGTATGTAAACAAAATAACTGCGAGTACGTGCTCCCATTTGTGTACAAGCAAACAAGTTTATGTGTTTATGTGAACACAAAAACATACTAAAGTAAGTAAACAAACAAACGTGTCCGTGTTAGCTCTGTGTTGAATGATGTGTCATGAGAGAGAGAGAGAGAGAGAGAGAGAGAGAGAGAGAGAGAGAGTCTTCCTTTTAACACATATAAAATATCTGCGTCCCTGGCATAAATACAGTTTATTTTGTGGTTTAATCAATGGGGTTAATAGAAAAATCCCTAATGTCAATAGGAGTGCATGAGTCAGGGTTCATTTTTGTCCAATTCTATGATTTTTATTTTCCCGAAAAACACATTGACATAGAATTCCGATTGACTGTGAAATATAGGGGACACGCTAATGGATTTTTTAAATGAATGCCAAAGCTTCCATATATATATATATATATATATATATATATATATATATATATATATATATATATATATATATATATATATATATATATATATATATATATATATATATATATATATATATATATATATATATATATATATATATATATATATATATATTCGCACACAAACAGACGAGAACCACACACAAACACACACACACACACACGCTACATTATCAAAGTTGATGAAGGTGTGGCAGGGGAATGTATGGCGTCGTAAGTCGTGCTGCCTCGCCTCTCAGCTCCTGAGGGAGGAGGGAGACTGGGGGAAGGTATGTAGGAGGAGGAGACTAAGGGGACATATGTGTGAGGGGAATGAATTAGAGGTAGTATGAGGGGATACATGTATAAAGCGAATGAGGAGAGGCCACTGTCTTGGGAATTAAGGAAGACATTTATGAGGGGAACAAGTTTGAGGAGAGATTAGTAGAAGGAAAAATAAATATCAGGGAAAATAGATATTATAGGATGCAAGTATGAGGGGGTATGAGGTGGGTATATGTACGTGGATGTAAGTATGAGGAGACAAGAGGGGAAAAGTAGAGAGTGA